ATGTGAATGAATATACATTAGCAGAAATCCTGTTATTGGCGGTGTTATCATACAATTATGATATTGATTCTGCTATTTATACAGGCATTACTATGAGCCAAACTATTCAACTAACGTATGGGCTGGCAGATCCATCTTGTATTTATTCATGTTACCCTATGTGTCCCATAGAAAAAACATCATTCTCATAGTTTATTTCACTAAATACCTTCAAATTGTGACTAAAATATCTGATATTTTTCATTATTGAAATTGAGCTATTTATGTTGTTTACCTTCTTCTGTTATTGCAATCATCACAGTGCTTTAAATTGGTATATGATTGATTAGTAGATAGAATTTCTAGTGTTACCTTCAGTATCAAAGTGTCTTGATTCCAATATCCTAAATCCATTCTTAGGTTACAGGGTTCAAAGTGAAAACTAAGTCCAAATAAAAGCAACCCTCAATGGCCAAATATTATGAAAGCTAGACTAAATAGTCCAAAGTTTCTCTTTCCTCATCACCGATTTTTATATTGTAAAGGCAAGATAGTTTTTAAATTTAACAGGGAGGGGGATGCAAAAATTCTGAAGACGAGATCAGTTTTTAAATTTAACAGGGAGGGGGATGCAAAAATTCTGAAGGCAAGATCAGTTTTTCAATTTAACAGGGAGGGGGATGCAAAAATTCTGGAGCCATTTTGGGATATATTCACCATTCTCTCAAAATTGTTTGCAAATGAGACTCAAATGAGGGTCATATACAATCATGCCAAAAATAAAAAATGGGACCCACCTGAACTTGAGGAAGAGCCCCAGTCTATATATGTCCATGTAGGTGTGAATATATGTTGTAAGGGGAGGTGATGGGGGGGGGGGAGTACTCAAGGGCAGAGACAAATGGGGAAAATGCCTGCTATCACAATCTGTCCGAAAAGTGTACGTCTGCATACATCAATTAACCTATTTGTTCAATTGTACCATATCTGTGTTCGTGAGCAAAATCATTTTTTAGTCATATTTCATGTGATCTGCAATATAACCCTGACACTATCAACCACTCCAACCTCGTTACCCTATATTAACATTTACTTTGGGTCACAATAATTACATCAAAATCTTCATAAAATATGAATAAACTATTTTTGGGATTTTGGATTAATTTTGTATGTTCACTACATATAAGAATCTTTTTTATAAACAATTTCATCTCTTATAGTTCACAGTTTAAATCATCGCTTTTCTTATATATAATTCTTGTAACCTTGGACAGAAGCCTGGCCAAAAATTATACAATAACATTTCAATGCCACTTAGCTCAAATTAAATACAAATTAACATGAGTTTTGTCTTATGAAAATAGATGTAATGTTACTTTGTTATTCTAGTTCCTAGATGAGCTTTCATAAAAATATCACGCAACCTATGCTTAAAACACGCACTGTTTAAAATACAATATAATAATAGGATAGAACTGATGAGAATGGTTTCAAGTCAATATTCTATGGTATATTGTTTATACACCAGAAAGATTCGATATTTGTCAAATGAAGTGGACAAAGCATGTTCAGAGACTTCTATAAAACGTCTTCTAAATCAGATTACAATAATATTCCACATACAGTAGCTATATTAAACACTCCCAAGATAAATAACAAAAAATTGATTCCATCTTTAATTTGAAATTTTATGTTGCACTATTTGTTTTTACTATTTTTTTTAGATATCTTGAACAATTCAAAAAGATAAAGTGACACTTGGAACTATAAGCAGATATTTAATGACGGAATCTGCAATTAGCGATTCTAGGTAGCTATGTTATTTCAATTGATTTACGGCCAATCAAGTAGATTCAGATTAATAAATGGAGAAAATACGGCAAACATAGTTATCTAAATTAGAAATTAGGCATTTAACTCATCCCCATAGAACCATAGAAAGATAAACATGATCTAAATACTTCAATGGTAAATACCTTTTGCATTTAGGATATTACTTTGCATCTCAAGAACGAGCACTTCATTTTGCTCTTTGAAAAAGAAACAATTGCTTGATCCATTTGGTTGTGCCAATTCAACTACCGAACCATGAATGCAGACACTTATTGACTCATTTGCCTCTATCTTAAAGGGATTCCTTGCACGTCCATTTCTCTCTTGATATGATATCTATAATCATTATTATACTATCCATATTTAGCGAAACAAGGGAAAATATTTTGATATGGTCAATATTGATCATTTAAAAGTGCATCTTAATCAATAACATGAAGGCAGTAAGATAGATGCAACATACAAAAATAGACTAGACAAGCTCGGGCGTGTTCAGATGCCAACATGTTTGGGCATGAATTGAAAGATAAATATTATGTGCTCTGGGGAAATAGGCTATAATCATCTGTGGTCTGGTACTATTATAAGTCTAAACAAGCAGGTTATTTCTAAATTAAGAGTAAGATCACTTTCAAACCACATAGTCATGTTAAAAATACATTGTCCACATATTGGGCAGATGATTTCCTATATGAAATTGTACTGATTATAGTATATAAGCCCTCCTATGGTTTGGTAAACATGTCTAAAATTAGCATTTGATTGTGTTCAGACATGTTGGATCTGTCTAGACTCATCAATGGTATTCCCATTTAATACATGAGATGATCTAATAAAATAAGTACTTATCAACCTTTGAACATTATTTTCTGTAAAACCTTGCAAATATTTCTGGCATTTCGCATATACTCATATTGATTAAGTAAATAAAAAGAAACTGTTTTTCTACATAACATGAATGCTTATTTCAAAATAAACAATATTTAGATTATTTGTTTGTTAATCATTAATCAACATTTATGCAATTGCTTATTTCCTCAGAAGTAAGAGTATAATGCAAAATAAATGCAAATAATAAAAGTTATCGATTGTGAAATGGTCAAATTATTATAAAAAAATAAATAAAGTAAAGTAAGTTATTATATCTTTTATTGACATTTTATATCAGTTACTTGATACACATTTTTAAGAATGTAAATAACACTTTGATGAGACAGTATCATGCCGATTGGCAAATTGCAACAGAACATATTGTCAACAGATAAATTAATAAAAATATGGAAATTGCTTCTGCTCCAAGGGACACATACAGTACTGACCATTACACAGAAATGACCCACCTTAATTATACCCATTATACAGCAATCTTTAATTTTAATTACAACTTAGCCCAACTTAAAGATGGATCATCCCATGCACAATGAACAATGACCAAGCACATGTTTACTATCTCTTCAATTCCCAAGATTAGTGGTCCCTTATCAATCATAATGAGTGCCCATTTGGAAATATAATTGAAGTCATGTTTCTAAATTGAAAATAGGGAGTGGAAATGGTAAACTCAATGAGGAATAAAAAATAGAGAAATGTGGTCAATATTCTAAATTGTAAATAAATGGTAGAACATTAGGAAGTTCATTCAAATGTTGGAAAACATTAAGAAAGTTTAAGGCTTGGTAAATTCAATTTGAGTGATGTGAGAAAATACAAATTTCTTTCTTTTTGTTGGTGATTCTTTAAAGCTTTTAAAGGGTGACGCATATCGTTTAGCAAATCGAACGCTCGTTTCTGGTGTTGCTCACCGTTTAGTATAAAAGGTCCGATCCCGGAATAATACTCAAGGGTTCACAGGCTCGAGGTCGTTTTGTCAACACCTCTAACTGTTATATAGCATAAGTATATTATAGATCGTCACATATTTATAAAACGGTGATTTTTATTTTGACAAATCAACATATTCTTTGAACGCAATCACTCTATGGATAATGTTTTCAAAATCATTATAAACGGATTACTTTATCTCAAAGACAATTTCAATAAACTGGATTTTACAGAACTCCCCTTATTTCTTAAAAATGGACTGATCCAGTCGATTCGCCTGGAGCCGCCATATTGGTTTTATATGGGATGCTTATCGGAACCCTTTAAGAATGATATGGTAAGCTCCAACAAATGTCATCGACAAAATGTTAAGCTATCTCATAAACCAAACTATGATTGTTTCCGTTTTAAAAATGGCTATTTGAATAACATATTCTTTCAATTCAATTACCAATGTTTGAGTAACCATGCCGATGATAAAATAATTAATCTAATAATTCTAAATATTTAATGGCCAAGGAATCACAAATTGTAATTATATCCGTGCCCTCTGACTTCTCGGAAAACTAGATTAGATTGCATGCAATGAATGTTTCAATGAAAGATAGACAAAGACTGACCATTATAGCAAGCAGGGGAATCAAGCCTATTCATTTAGCATCATTAAGAAATCAATTTAGAATAAATCAAATGACAATAGGATTCGTGATTGTAATATCAAATCAATGGGAGTAACAGGAAAACATCCCAAATGATCTACACAAAATAGGGCATTCACTTATTCGGACAAAAAAGAATCTAATTCTCCAAAATAATATTGAACCTCACAAAAACAAATCTAAAAAGGAGCTGAAGACTGTCAATTTCAGTAATCAGACAAAAGTGTTAATTTGCATTGAAACTATTATGAAAGAGTCTGGGGCCTGGATGAGTAAATCAAATGTTACATAAACTCTGGCATGATATAATAATTATAAAACAGGACTATGATCTTTAGACCCAGCCAGAAAAGTTCGGTGTTTAGAAGCATTCTACAGGGCATATATAATGGGAGTATAGCATACCAAAATAAAAGGGAAAATAAACTAATTACAGACACGTTAAAAAGCAATAAAACAAAAGACATGAGTAGTGTAAAGAGGGGTGGAAGATGGAAATAATGCGGACAAGAATCCCGTAGACCACTGAACCAGAGACCACATACCCCTCAGAGACCACATATCCCACAACTTTTGTGGTCCAACCCACATTCAACATTATAGTGGAACCTTACATAAATATGATCGATCATTTCATCATTCTGATAACGTATCAGTCAATGCCTCGTGACACATGTCTCTCTGGACCTCACAGACCGTATATTACTAAACCAGAGACCACATAACCCACAATTTTTGTGCTCCAACCCACCTCCCATACATTTAGTGGAACCTTACATAATAAGTCATTTCATAATCATCTTATCAAAAAGTCAATAGTTTTGTATAGTATATATAGAACCACCAAATCATTTCGGTGTCAGCTCACATTACCACTGTTACAAGATGTCAATCCCTGGAGTGCTCGAGACTCTACAAAGTTTCACATTGGATGAAGGTCGTTTAACATTTGATGTTTCAAAAACCAAATATGGAATCTGTGGTATTCTATGCGAGAAAAGATGGAACAAAGAGAAAACAGAAAGCTTCTGGGCACTACTTTATTGTTCACCAGCGCAATGGCGTACAATTCAGGATCTTGCAGGAAACGTTGATGAATGCTTATTAAATAAAGACTATTCTAGGGAGTTTGTGATCACCAACGGAAAGTTGCTAGGCCTGTCCTCTTCAAATGATTCCCAGTTTGTGCGTTTCATAGTTACTACAGACGACGGAGAACTTGATGCAAGAAAGTCGATTACAATCACGGCAGAAGCCTGGGGTGTATTGAAATCTCATGCCACGGCGATTACCGATTTACTCCCGCAAAAGAGAAAATATTTCTCTGATGAAGTTGCACGAAAGCAAAACCAAGCGGCACGATTATCTCCTCGATACAGATACATCTGTACCAGAATGGATGGACAGTTACTCGGGGTTTGGCATTTCCTAAGATCCCATGCAATACGCGATATGCAGACGAATAATGTGAAAGGTCCTACTACCCAGATACAAAAGCAGTGTGTACAAATGCCTTCCAATGAAACTATATTACGACGCTGTTTCGTACGTCTACTCTGCGATCGCATAAATCAACTAGCGAACGACAAACCAGAATGTGAGGGCTGTATAATTGATCATCCGAGTCAAGTTCAGGTAAATACATGTTAAGTCATTTTAAGTTTCACATAACACAATATCAGGATTGTATTGAATATTGATTCTAACTTTTACACTATTATAATTTTAGTAAATGATATGGTCTCATATTTATCTCTAATTTAAATTTATTGTATGTTTTCAGCACATGGGACCAGGCGGATGCCTAGAGGAGGTTGATTTTGATCACGGAACTGCTTTGGAAATGTTATCAAACAATGATGTGTTCGAAGTCTACAAAAAGCTACAAAACCACTTGGGGCTTCACGAGGACATCAACAAATCTTGGGTGCAAATAAACATTAATGGATTTCGAAAACTAGATTTATCTGAGGAGGTTGAAGCATGCCTTCATTACACACCCGTTGGAGGGAATGATGATACTCGTGAATCAGTTAACAATAGTTTAAATGCTGCTATAGACTATTTCCAGAAAAAAAACGTGAATTTATAGACTTTCGATGAAAATATTGTCTGAACTCTAAATACTGCTGTTCATAACTTTCAGCAAATTAATGAATATAATACACACAGTGTAGATATTTTTAAAACCTAAGTAAATAAAGCTTGTAAAAGAACTACGTAGTTATTGTTTTATGGATCAAAGTTGTATTAATATGTGAGGTTGGTTCCAGATATTTTACAATATAGTTTCTTGTACCCCCCCCCCCCCCCCCCTCTCCCAGTAACTCTGGTGTAACATTCTATAAAACATACATATCTCATCGCATATATATTCTTTGAATGAGAAAACCACATGCCATAACTATCAGATCTGTTGAAACTGAAACATGACTTCACAATTCTATGTATATTTGAATAACAAAGATTCTTTAGATGTATATCCCGCTAACACAAACACCAAGTTCACAGTTAAATTACCGGAATATATTTCATTTCACCCCAACGAGCACTGGGAAGTTGGTTTGGTGGAATTGAGACATCCTACTATATACAAGAGGACTGTATGGAATGTGCTTTGTGACTTGTGTTACGGATCTGTGGTTGGTGGAGAGAATGCACCGCTCTTGAGACAAGTATACGCTACCCAGGATGATATATTCTACACTGGGAATTATCAGTCTTATAACCCTGTTCTCTATAAACCCGTTATACCATCGGGATTCCAAAACATATCCATTACTATAAAAGCAGCCAAAGGAACAGAAGATGTTTCATTTAACAGCGATACATTCTACTGCGTACTACACTTTAGAAAAATACACAATTTCTAGCCTCAATCATGAGATTTTCCACATACACACCGGATCAGAGTAAATGGGAACAGTTTTTTGCATCCTCAGTAAATCGCAGTTTACCTATGGGATCCAAAAAAACTCAAAAGTATATATCAATAAATGATAATCAATATTCAATCAAAAATAACCAAGAAGGAGGCTCCACAATTAATCTCGTATCCCCAACTCAAGCTGTTGTCGAGAGAGCTAGCGCCGATTTAAAAAGGGAGAAAAGATTGAAAGATGCTATTAAAAGGACACTGCTACCCCCAGGTACTCCCAAAGCAACAATTGACAGCAGACAGCATAGACGCTCGGTGAAACAACTCCGTAAGAAGCCAGCAGTAAAACGCGATTCAAAAACCAAACATATTTCTTTAAAGCGTAAAGCACCCGTGATAAGTGATATATTAACAAAGAAAAAGAAACATGGCAGAAAAGCTAATAGGAAGTGATGAATCGTCCTCATCAGAACTTATGGTTTTCAACACTCCATTAACTGATAGTAGTATTTCGAAATTGAAATGGGTGGAACATCGACCGACGTCAAGCATAACTCCTGGTGCATGCATAGAGTTTAATATCCCTAATAATGGTATGGACTATGTGAGTTTAAAGCGCTCTCGTCTGCACGTCAAAGTAAAGATCGTTCAGGAAAATGGAGCTATTATGAATTGGGATCCGAATGACTTACTAGGGACTCAGAAATGTGGGCCAATAAATTTACTTTTACAAACATTATGGAATCGAGTAGACATTCAAATACAACAAAACTCCATTACAACGGCTACACCAGATTTTGCATACAAAGCCTATCTACATGTTCTGCAAAACTTTTCCCTGGGAGATAAACAATCTTGGTTACAGAGTCAAGGTTATATAAAAGATGAAATTGATCCGTCTGCAAATGATGTCTGGACTGGTGGAAATCCTGGATTAACAGTTCGTTATATGGATTATAGAAATAGTCGTGACGTGGAACTGGTCGGTCCAATATACGAAAGTTTTCTACAATCCGATCGTTTGCTACTGAACGGTGTAGAAATTAAAATCAAGGTGTGGCCTAATAGTAGTGAATTTTGCCTAGTTTCCAAAGACAATCAGAAGTGGCGGTTAATCATTACTGATGCATACTTAGAGACATGCATGGTAGAAGTTAATCCCGCTATTATAAAAGCTCATAATGACATTTTGCTTAGATCACCAGCCAGATATCCTTATCAGGATGTAGAAGTCAAGGTGAAAAGTTTAGCTACGGGTAACTTTAACTTTTCCTGGGATAACATATTTCAAGGACGAATACCATCCTGTCTGACTGCGATCTTTGTGTCAGCTCGGGCCTATGCGGGATCATATGATACCAACCCCCTCTACCTAAATCACTTCAACCTATCTAGTTTAACAACTCAGATTGATTCACAAGATGTTCCTTCGAAACCGCTCACTTTGAAATTTTCCGAAGATCTAACTGAGAGCGAACAGTATTTGACTGCTTATCTGAGACTTTTTGATGCATCTTTACCCAGTCACGATATCGATAATGATATCAGTAAAGAAGACTTTAAAAAAGGGACTACGATTTTCCGTTTTCAATTGAATGCTGTAGATGATCATAAATCAGTATTTCCACTTCTTAAAACTGGACAGTTAAAACTAGAAGGACGATTTGAATCTGCCCTCCAAGAACCAATCTGTGTAGTGGTCTTGGGAACATTTCCTCGAGTTTTGGAAATCGATCGATTTCGTGGTGTTACACTCACGTAATGATGAATACATATCAACTTGAACGGATTATGGACTCTGATGCGTGTCTACGGCAACACTCACACGGTGTGTACGCCTTGAACCAGCTACCCACAAATGTGATAAGAAAACCAGCCTTTTTTATTGTCAACACGCAAGACAGTTCACTGAGGGGAGAACATTGGTGTGCGTTTGCATTCTTTGAGGACACATCTGAATTTTATGATTCTATGGGACAAGCCCCGGACTATTATAGTACTCTATTTCAGGATGTGCTTGTGAACAACAGCACACGTTTTTTGTATAATAACACTCGGATTCAGGGATTAGATAACACTTGTGGACATCATTGTATATACTATTTATATAAACGATGCAGAAACACCACTATGCAATGTATAGTTAATTCATTTTCAAAACATAATCTGAGTTATAATGATGAATTTGCTAAGGTATTTTTAGCACTAAAGTATAAGCATATTGTTAGCTCCTTTCCACAATGAAGAAGCATGTAATTCAATCAGAAAATAAATAAATACATATTGTAACAGTATAAAATAATCATTCTTTACTTTTGTATTGATTCGCATTACACATAATGGAGGTTGTTGGAAGACCAGTTCAGAAACTGACTCGAGTAAAGAAAAATGCTCTAAAGTCAGCTTATTATAGCCCAGATAAGCCAGGATCGTTTTCGAGTCCAATGCAACTCTGGAGACAGGTTAGAGCATTGGGCATCAGTAAATCTCAAGTTAAAAACTGGATAAATGATCAAGAGTCGTATGCGTTGTTTAAAAAACCAAAGAAAATCAAGAAACGACGGAAAATTATAGTCTCTTCCATGAATCAAATGTATGATATGGATCTAGCAGATATGAAAGTTTACACAAAGTATAATTCAAAGATAAGCTATTTGTTAGTGATCGTCGACGCCCTATCCCGTTATATGTGGGTGAGTCCATTAAAATCGAAAAAGGGACAAGAAGTTGTATCTGCACTTGAAGGACTTAAAGATACAATGCCTACTCCACTGCAAATAAGAACCGATCAGGTATGACATGTCGCTGATCTGTCCAGTATGCTTTAGCTTTTAATTAATAACTCGTATAACCACGGGGGCTGTACCAAATTAGGCGTTCAACTGACACCTGTAATTTGGTACAGCACCTCTGATAACTAAAAAACTAAATCTTGTCTTGTAGATATTAATAATGATGAAACCATAGGAGGAAAAAATTATAAAATCTTATTTCTTGTTTCAGGGCGGGGAATTCATAAACAGATATGTGAAAGATTACATGAATCGAGAGAAAATTGATCACATCTTAGCCTTTGGAACTATGAAAGCTGGAATGGCTGAAAATGGGATTAGGCGTTTGAAGGAACGTTTGGTACGATACATGTACGCCAATAACACATTCGAATATTTATCCACTCTTTCAGATATTGTCAACTCTATTAATGCATCATTTATGGAATCCATAGGAATGAGCCCATCAGAGGTTAGCATCGCTAATCAAGATAAAGTGTGGGATAAACTATATTATGAAACCTATATAAAACACCCTTCTGTATTTAAACCGAAATTCGAGAAAAATCAAACAGTACGGATCTCGTTGGATAAGAGCTCAGATTATACACCTGGTTACCTAATGTCCTGGAGTCAAGAGATATTTATAATAAAATCTATAAATCACACAAGTCCGCCAACGTATCTTCTTGAGGATCTAAATGGAGAAAGTATTAAAGGGGCTTTCTACGAATCACAACTGCTTTCTACGAGTATCCGGAGAAATCAACTTTTTAGAATTGAAAAAATCGTTGGCAGAAGACGATTTAAAGGGCAGAAACAAGTGCTCGTTCGCTGGCTTAATTACAGTAGTAAATTCGATAGTTGGTTGAAGGAGACAAGTGTGAAAGATTTTCAGTAGCAAAAAAACAATAATATTACGCACAATGGATGAAATCAAATTCAAATCTTGTTCAACTATTATAATCAGTGGACCTTCCAACTCCGGCAAGTCGTATTTCGTGATGAAACTTATAAGAAATATAAATGATATGTTTACTCCTAACCCTCCGAGAAAAGTGATTTTCTGCTACGCAATATGGCAAGACATTTACACGGAAATAGAGAAAACAAAAAATAACGTTGATATTGAATTTCACCAAGGGTTACCCGTCTGGGAGGAAATGATGAAACACAAGGACTCCCACACGTGTTATGTATTAGATGACTTAGCTTTTCAAACCTCGTCGAGTCGTGATCTGGAGCAAATGGCAACTGTGGGATGTCACCACGGTCATATTTCTTTGATCGTTATCACTCAAAATATATTCATGAGAACGGGAGTCTGGAGGCAATTTAGTTTGAATTCTCAATACATTATCCTATTTAGAAATATGCGTGGGACCGATCAAATAGCTTGTTTAGGAAGGCAGTTATTCGATGGAAATAGTAAAAAATTCATGCAAGCCTACAGAGATGCAGTGATGACCAGGCAATATGGGTACATTTTAATCGACATGCACCCACAAGCAGATGATAATCTTAGATTAAGGTGGGTGATTATTATAGATCTACTTTATTA